ACCTAGAAGTAGACTCATCTCATGAGGATCATTTTCTATACCCCTATAATTGCATTTCCAACCAATCAGCATCACCCATTCCCTAGCCCCTTCACTGCCAAACTCTCCTTGAAAAACTCCAACCTTGGAATTTGATGGGAGGTTGATTGGAGTGATAAAAAAACTTTGAAGAGGATGAGGTGGCTCACACCTGTAATTTCAGCACTTTGGGAGGAGGCTAGGGCAGGAGGATTGCTTGAGCCCAGGAGTTTGAAACCAGCCTGGGCAACATAGTGAGACTCTGTCTCTCCCCCAACCAAAAAAAAATTAAGTTACCCATGCACGGTGGCACATGATTGCAATCTTAGCTACTTGGGAGGGTAAGGCAGGAGGACTCTTGAGCCTGGAGTGAGCCATGATTGCACCACTGCACTCCAGCCTAGGTGGCACAGTGAGACCCTGTCTCAAAAAAAACCAACCAAACAAAAAAGCTCCAGTCTCCTATTTAGCTGTATCTATTGCAATTCCCCTGTCTTGATCAATAATTGGTTCTGCCTAGGAAGTGGGCAAGATGAACCCATTAGGCAGTTTCAGTGTCTGGTAGCAAGGGGTAGGTCCAGATTTATAGAGCTTGAGCTACTACAATTTGGGAACTTTTTTTTTTTTAAAGAAAAGTAATGAAAATTACAAATACAAAATTAGTATATGGTTTTAGAAATGGTTCCTCAGTGAAGGGCTATAGATTTTAAGGTGTATGAGCTTCAATATTATTGGGATATTATTGTTTTTAGGATCTTTCAGTGAACAGAATGTTCAAATGCAACACCACAGGTTTATTTCTTAGCTTCTGTTATTTTGTATTTTTGCATAAACCAGAATGAAAATCATGGTTGCAGAGATTATCAATATTATTTGTTCATTTGTTCTATCTTAAAATATATACAAAAATGGTTTCCAGCTGGGTGCAATGGTTCATAATCACAGCACTTTAAGAGGCCGAGGTGGGTGGATCACTTGTCAGGAGTTCCAGACCAGCCTGACCATCATGGTGAAACCCCATCTCCACTAAAAACACAAAATTACCTGGGCATGGTGGTGGGTGCCTGCAATCCCAGCTACTTGATAGTCTGAGGCAGGAGAATCGCTTGAACCTGGGAGGTGGGGTTGCAGTGAGCTGAGATTGCACCACTGCACTCCAGCCTGGATGACAGAGAGAGATTCTGTCTCAAAAAACAAACAAACAAATAAACAAATAAAAAATGGTTTCAGAAGCATAACACCAATATCCTACCAAAAACAAACCTACTAGTAATGTTCAAGATTTTCTTGTATTTCTTCTTAATATGTAATATGTCCTACTAAGGATATATATATATATATATATATATATATATATAGCCAAAGTACTATATTCAAATGCTATTTAACTTTTTCTTTATGGTTACATTATCAATTCAGTATACAAATAATTTTAATTGTTTCTGTTTGAATTCAATTTCAGGGTTTGCTTTTTATTCTCTTTGATTTAATTTTATTTTTTAAAAATGCAGAATAGTGTTAAAAGAAAAATCTTAGACAAGTTAAATTGAAGAGAGTTTAATTGTGCAAAGAACAATTTGCAAATTGGGCAGTATCCCAACTCAGAATAGGTTCAGAAAGACTCTGGCCTTACCCTGTGGGTAGGTTGATGGACAGAGAAAGGAAAGTAACAGACAGAAAATGGAAGTCAGATACAGAAACAGCGGGTGTGATTGCAGCTCAAAGTTTGCCTTAGTTGAACAGGGTTTGAACAGTTGGCTGCCTTTGATTGGCCAACACTCAATGATTGGCACAAGAGTGGGCTACAGTCTATTTACACATCTAGTTACGTTATAGTTCACTATATACAGAGAAACCTTTAACCTGAACTTAAAATATGCAAGGAGGCAGCTTTAGGCTGAAGTTAATTTAAAGACATTATGATTAAAAGTCAAAAAGATACACTGAGAAGTTTCACTCATTCCTATCCCTCTGTTATTGAAAAGAGGTCCCAATCCAGATCCCAAGAGAGGGTTCTTGGATCTCATGCAATAAAGAATTTGGGGTGAGTCCACAGAATAAAGTAAAGGCAGTTTATTAGAAAAGTAAAGAAACAAAAGATTGTCTACTCCATAAGACAGATCAGCCCCAAAGGCTACTCGTCGGCCACTTTTATGGTTATTTCTTGACTACATGCTAAACAAGGGATGGATTATTCATGAGTTTTTCTGGGAAAAGTGTGGGAATTTCCTAGAACTGAGGGATCCTTTCACTTTTAGACCATATAGGGTAATTTCCAGATGTTGACATGGTATTTGTAAACTGTGGGGCTGGTTGGAGAGTCTTTTAGCATGTGAATGCATTATAATTAGCATATATCCAGCTGTGTGGATGACCAGAGATTGCTTTTGAAGCCATCATGGATTTGGTGGGTTTTGGCCAGCTTCTTTACTGCATCCTGTTTTATGTCTTAACTGCATCCATAAAGCAGAGTCTTTATGACCCGTCCCTTTTGATACCCTTCCTGCCAACCTCCTATGTCATGCTGTGACTAAGAATGCCTAACCTCCTAGGAATGGAGCCCCCCAAAAGATCCCAGTCTTATTATATCCAGCTTGAATTCAAGATGGAGTTGTTGTGGTTCCATTGGCTCTGACACTTCCACCCCATTCACACTCATCCTCAATAAGGAACCATTTTTAATAATTTATTGCTTATCCTCTATACCTTTTTGGTAAAAATCTGAAAACATATATGCAGTTTCTTATTTCTCTTTTTTTCTTAAACATGTAGGCTATTATATACACTCTTTTGCACCTTTGCTTCTCCCACTCCCTATCATCAATATATCCCAGGACTCACTTTACATCTGGTCTGCTCATAGAGCTCTTCATTCTTTTTATAACTGGATGGAAGTCCATTGAATGGCAGCTGGGCACGGTGGCTCACGTCTGTAATCCCAGCACTTTGAGAGGCTGAGGCAAGTGGATCACCTGAGGTGAGGAGTTCAAGACCAGTCTACCCAACATGGTAAAACCCCATCTTTACTAAAAATACAAAAATTAGCCAGGCGTGGTGGCACATATCTGTAATCCCAGCTACTTCAGAGCCTGAAGCAGGAGAATCGCTTGAACCTGGGAGGCAGAGGTTGCAGTGAGCCGAGATCACACCATCGCACTCCAGCCTGGGCAACAAGAGGGAAACTTAATCTCAAAAAAAAAAAAAAAAAAAGTCCATTGAAGGATAGATGCTCTACAGATGATCTAACCAGTTTCTTATGAATGATAATTTGATTGTTTCCAAGATTTAGATTGCTGTTTTAGAAAATTATATAGACTATGCACTATGATTTTAAACAAGAGGGAACTTGAAACTGCTACTGCAAAATTATAATGGACATGAAAAGACCAGACCTAAGCAACTCCTTCTTATTTGTAACTTCTAAGCTGTCCTTATTCTTTCCTATGCATTGGCTGAACTAACTTTGAGGAGGAACATAGTTTATAGTTTAGAACAAAGGTGATAACAGCCCTTGCCCAAAACAAACCCTCTTCTTGCCTGGGGACTAGACTGCCTTTGTAGGACTAACAAATTGGCCAAAAGATTAGAAATTATGGTTTAGGAGTTATGCAGCTGGAGGCTACAAGATTCTGACCCTCTCCAAACTGCTGCTGGGAATAACATCACTATTGTAAAGCCCAAGATCAGAGCTTGAGATATTTTGCAGACCTTGCACTTGATGGATCAGCAGGCACCACCCAGATTGATAAACTGGCTCATCTGACCCTATGACCCTACCCAAGAACTGTCTTAGTGCAAGACAGCTTTGACTTCCTATGATTTCATCTCTGACCCAAACAATCAGCACTCCTGACTCATTAGCTCTTCCCCCACCCACCAAATTGTCCTTAAAAACTTTGATCCCCAAATGCTGGGGGAGACTGGTTTGAGTAATAATAAAACTCCAGTCTCCTGCACAGCTGGTGCTACCAGAATTACTCTTTCTATATTGCAATTCCCCTGTCTTGATAAATAAGCTCTGTCTAGACAGCGGGCAAGGTGAACCCATTGGGTGGCTACAAATTGCGTACCCAAGCAACAAAAGTAACAATTTGGGAAGTATTTGAAGCTCACTGACCAGAATTTCTTTAACAATTTTGGTCTATTCATTTATTCATCCATTTATGTAACCACTATTGTTGTGTATCAGGAACTGATATTTACTCAGAACGTTAAGAACATTATTCATCTTGACATGCTAAATCATCTCAGTTACTGAAAATGGGTATACTAGGTTTCTTACAAAGAAGTTGCTTGGATTTATAAAATATGAGGCAGTTGACCTGAGACAAGGCAGTAGAAAGTGGTTCATGTACACAATTTTTATTTTTCACTTTGAACCCAGAACACCTGCTCCTCCAGGCCAGAAATTCAAGCTCTGCGCAGCTAGTTCTGCCGCCAGTCGTAGGGTAGCAAGCCCACCAAGCACCCAGGAAAGATGGTCTGAAAACCTTCTTTCTTGCGATGTCAGGAGGGCAGCAGACTTTGGGGACCAAATCTCAGCAACTGAGTTTGGTTTCCTCACGAACCAAGCCACAGCCTTCAGGGTGAGAGGAAGAGGTAAGGAAAGGATGAATGGGCAATGAAGCCAGCCCAGGGCGGGGAGCTCGCCCTCTCCAAAAGCGATTCCGCCGGCTTTAGCTGTGCGACCTGGGGTGGGTTACCTAGCGCCTCTTAAGCCTGACCTCCTAATTAGGGGGCACAAGTCTTTCTCGAGGGAATGCTGAAAGGCTCTAATGGGAAAACGAGGGTAAACATCTTAACTTAGCTAAGAACCTGGCCCACGGTAAGCCCTTAATATCTAGTTATTTTTCAGTGGTGGTGATTACCATCGTCATTATTGTTTTCTATTTGTAATCACCACTGCCGGGACCATCACTGACCTTTTACGCCTCCACGGGGATCCCCACCTCCTAGCCTGGCAGCTCCAGGCTCTGGTGACTCATTCATTTCCTGGAAGCCCTCTAGGCAGCACTTTCCTCTCTAGAGTGACTCCTTCTCAGAAGGCAAGGATCCCCCCGGAAACCTTTCTCTCTCCTTTCTCGCTTTCTAACTCAAGCTCTCATTCCCGAGTCCAAACTAAGAGACTCGCGCCTCACACTCAGCCAGCGGCTCCGGCGCCTTCCCCGCACGCCTCTGCCGCCTGGAGGACGCGGGCGGCAGCGCCCCGGCGGGCCGCGTAAATGGGCTCCCACTTGGCCGCCCGCGCCCTGACAGGCCCCCCCTGCCCTCGCCCCGCCCAGCTCCCGCCACGCTCTAGCTGCCCAGCCACATCTTCCTCTGCCTTCCACCCCACGGGACCATGTCGAGACTCAGCTGGGGATACGGCGAGCACAACGGTGAGCGCCTTTTCAATCCGAGGGGGACTTTGCGCGGGGTTGGCGGAGAGGGGGCAAGAGAGCGCAAGAGGGCTGGCGCCACGTCCTGGCGCCCGCCGACCACACACTCGGCTCGCACTTTGAGAAACTTTTCGGTTCCTCTTTAAACTGAGCAGCACTCCCCGGAGCCCAAGGCAGGAAGCGGAGAGCAGGCTTGTCAGGGTAGACAGGGTGTTGGTAGTGGATCGGAGCGTTGGTGTGTGTTGTCTCTGTCAGGATTCCCCAGATTCCCAAATGTTCAAGTTCGTTCACCTTCATCTGAAAAGCCAAGGACTTTGCCTAGTAACAGCCACTTATCGATTAAACGCTTGGAGATTACAAGTCTGATGACACACTTTAATGAAATAAGGACAACTTCGCTTTCAGTCTTGGAAGCTCACTATTATTCACTTAGGAGAAACAAATCATAGCAAATCTTTGAAAGTGTATTTAGGAAATCTTAACTTGCATTGTGACACTGAAGATTAAGTTGGCTTCTTGGCAAACAAAATACTGCATGTCTCCTAATAGCTATTACTGTTAATATTCCCACAGCAATTTGCAGTTGGTTGACTAGTACTGGGGACTTTAGTAAGGCTTCAGGTTCTTGCTGGGAAATGAAGTTATATTGTGAGTTACTTCTCCACTCATCCTCTCTTTCCACGCTTGTCAAATGATGAGCAAACTTACTAAAATTATAATTCTTTGAAAGAAATGTATCAATAGGATGAACAATAATGAGACACACACTTTTCTTCTTGTATATTTCACATTATCATAAGTAAAATATTTTTCTTGTTTTTACAAGGTTAAACTGAACTGATTGTTTTAAATGATAATTATTTGAAATAATTGCAGTGACACCAAAAAGCCTTATAATGAATAACTGTCAAAATTAAGGCTTGATTTAGCCATTCCTCAATGTGCATATATTTCAGAACATCATGTTGTAGACATAAATATATATTTTTTTTGTCAATTTAAGAAGTAAATACACAATAATTAGAGAAAAAATTAAGACTGTGAATAATAATACTTTTCTTCTCTGAGCATGTACATGATTGAACAGTATAGTATGGCCAAGTTTTATAGCAAGTTTCATTTCACAAACTAATAGAAAAGTTCCATTTCTAATTTTAGCCTGTTTAATTTCTAATTGTAGCCTGTTTTCAAACATGCTAGTTTAAAAATGGCAGCAGATGAAATTTAAAACTTTAATAATAAAAGATATATAGGCAGATTTCTTCTTGATTAAGGCCATAATTATAATCTTACGTTTTTCTAATTTCCAGTGTATGTTTGGGGGGGAAATGACAAAACAAATCTCTTTTAATTTTCCTCTCTGCTGAAGTCGTTTTTCTTATGGTTATTTAATCGTCATTGAATCCCAACTGTGCCCTTATGATAGGAAGAAGAAGGGTATTTTAATCAATGGACATTGATTACTCTTGAGTAGGTTAGAAATTATTGGCCAGAATGAAGCTTATCTTCAGGAATTTTAAAAATTCATCTTAGAAAAGCCATTAATAAGAAGTGATTTTGTATGTCTGTTAGGAATTGTAGAGCCATTCCCTTCTTTTAGATGCAATGTGTCTCTGAAGACCACATCTTTAAGTAAGGATGTGGTCTTCAGAGAAAGATTGGCAAAATCTGATTGGAAATGTATTATATACTAACTAGGCAAGTTTTTATTTGTTTGTTTGTTTGTTTGTTTTTGAGATGAGTCTTGCTCTGTCACCCAAGGTGGAGTGCCATGGTGCAATCTCTCAGCTTACCTCTGCTTCCCGGGTTCAAGTGATTCTCCTGCCTCAGGCTCCTGAGTAGCTGGGATTATAGGTGCATGCCACCACATCTGGCTAATTTTTTGTATTTTTAGTAGGGATGGGCTTTCACTGCGTTAGCCAGGATGGTCTCGATCTCCTGACCTGGTGATCTGCCCTCCTCGGCCTCCCAAAGTGCTGGGATTACAGGTGTGATCCACCACGCCAGGCTACTAGACAAGTTTTGTTGTTGTTTTTTTCTCTGTTTAAACATTGGTAAAGCCAGTGACTGAGCAGATAAAAAGAGACGTAAGCTGGGGATAGCAACACTGATAAAATGGAACATCAAGACCTGAAGCCCTGAAAGGGTACTATCTTCACAAATAACTTACAATGACTTCCTCTAACCTTTGACTACCTTATTAGTTTAGTTTAGGGAATGTGACATCACTGAAAAGTGTATGTCACTATGGATATTTAAAATTTCCTAAATCAATTGAGCAACCACCATATATCTATAATTATGAATTATGTTGGCCAGGCACAGTGGCTCATGCCTGTAATCCAGCACTTTGGGAGGCCGAGGTGGGCAGATCACCTGAGGTCGAGAGTTCGACCAGCCTGATCAACATGGAGAAACCTCATCTCTACTAACAATATAAAATTAGCTGGGTGTGGACTTGGGAGGCTGAGGCAGGAGAACCCCTTAAACCTGGGAGGGAAGGTGAAGGTTGCCATGAGCTGAGATGGTGCCATTGTACAAGAATTATGTTAGGCCAATTATAATGGCTTGCACCTGTAATCCTAGCTACTCAAAGACAGAGATGGGAGGATTGCTTGAGGCCAGAAGTTCCAGACTAGCCTGAGAGGTTAATGGGGGTTAGGGAGGAGGAGGAGGAGGAGATGGAATTTTTTTTGGAAAAATTGATAAAGTGTATCTTTTTAAGAGGCAGTGTACTGAACTGACTATGGTAGTTAATAGATAATATTGGAAATGTGATATGAAGTATTATTACTTTTATTTTATTTTGGTTTGACTCTTCTTTTAAAAATAGTTCTGATTATAAAGGACTGGGAAATAGGAGAGCAAAGAAATTAGGAGAAGAAAGCAAGTCTTTATTAATTGGAAGACCGTCACCAGCACGTTGTGACACATGCATTGCATGTTTGAAATTTAATTTTCTTTAGATTAACTCTTATTTGGTGGCAGTGAAATAGAAGACATTTTCATAATTAAGGGGAAAAAAACGTCTAAGTTATGTATAGAAAGAGTACTCGGGAAGATGGTAAAAGTACTAAATAAACAAGGTTTTTTTCTGTAATAGGTTCTAAGTAAGGACTTTTGATGCTCAAGTGACTTTGAAGTCCAGTTTGTCAGGACACCTCATAAGTGGAGTATGTAGTTATATATTTATACTATGTACTTTGTGTGCCTGAAGGATATATGAAAGAAAGAATGTATGTATGTGTGCACTCTCTTTTGCAAAAATGAGGCACAGTGTGCAGCATTAGATTTAGAGTTTGGGCCAGGCATGGTGGCTCATGCCTGTAATCCCAACACTTTGGGAAGCCGAGACATGTGGATCACTTGAGCCCATGAGTTTGAGACCAGCCTATAGTAAGCAATATAGTGAGAATTTCTCTCTACAAAAAAAAAAAAAAAAAAAAAAAAAAAGTTTTTTTAAAAAATTAGCTGGGTGTGGTGGTGCACACCTGTGCTCCTAGCTACTTGGGAGGCTGAGGGGGAAGAATCATTTGAGTTTGGGAAGTTGAGGTTGTAGTGAGCTGAGCTCCCAACTCTGCATTCCAGCCTGGAAAACAGAGCAAGACCCTGTCTCAAAAAAAAAAGATTTAGAGTTTGAAGCTGTTGATGATTGTGATATATTGCATTTATTTAAATATGACTCTAAATTTTATCATTTTAAAATGTTTTTTAGTTGTTGTTAGTAACATGCTTAATTAATTGTCATGCTGTGATGTTTTAATTAGTACTTGATTTTTAGTTAAAGATTGGTTAGCAAAGTAGGTGGGGAAACCTTAGTCAGTAGCCAGTGCCCTGCTCACCTGGTGATAGCTGTTTAAATTTCACAAATAATAGAGAGAAGAGAATAAGAACCTATAACCTACAAAGTGATTCACATCTGTAGAATGACATGGAGCTTACATGAAACTACAACTTTGCGGCTGATTCTGAGAGGCAAGACTTTATATAGAGTCTTCCAAAGAAATGAAGAGGATTGAAAAGGGAACCGTCAGCTGATTGGCTCATTTCAATTTCTCTTGTCTGATTTGTGAACTTGATGTGCTTTTGACTCTTTCAATAGAGGACCAGAATGACACTTGTCTCATGTGTTGAAATTCAAGTGTAACATTGGCAAAATTACCATGGAAGAACCTTCTGAAATGAAGAAAGAGAAAAATAAATTACATCCCGACTCCACTTCAGAAAATCAACAATATTACATTTCCTGACATGGTGCAGCCATTTTATTTGGATTATCCTAGGTGAAAAATTTGTATGTTTTCTTGGTATGCCTGTTGCACAGCACAGGTAGTTGAGTGGAGGCCTGAGTGACACCATAAGGTGGCACTAAGTGATAGAAGGATGAATAAAGGACACCATCTTTAGGAATGACACCTTCCTTTGCTTCACAGCTTTCTCGGCTTTTTTGACTCTCTGCAAACTTGACCTCTGGAGCAACCACAGCTCATTCTTAGACCTGAGACTGAGTGTCGTTGTTTTCAATGATGAATTGTATGATTGTTTTTAGTTTGGTAGAAGGTTACCTTTGGAGACTACTTTATAAAATTTACAGACTCTGTTGTCTATAAGGGTTATTTTAATTCTGAAAATGACTTAAGGCACACCAAGAGTTTCCTACCTCTGTAATTAAAAACAACTAATCTTGTAAAAGATAAATATTGGACTTAAAGTTCCTGAGGCTGAGAATCTCATTTTATTATCTTTGCATTTTCTTCAATTTCAAGTACAGTGCATTATACTCAATGAATGATTGTTGAAAGAAAAACTTATTTAATCGTTTTCTTTTGGTCCTATATATTTAAGGTCCTATTCATTGGAATGAATTTTTCCCTATTGCTGATGGTGATCGGCAATCTCCAATTGAGATTAAAGCCAAAGAAGTGAAATATGATTCTTCCCTCCGACCACTTAGTATCAAGTATGACCCAAGCTCAGCTAAAATCATCAGCAACAGCGGCCATTCCTTCAACGTTGACTTTGATGACACAGAGGACAAATCAGGTTGGCTTGTGTATGTGGTCATGAGTGAAGCATTTGGATGATTAGATGACACTCTCTTATCTTTCATATTTTGTTTTTGCTAGACCTGGAATTTGTGAAACTGAAGTATATTTTTTCTTCATGTGAATTGAGATATCTTGTTATATATTTGAGCCTTCAGATAATCTTACCTTAAAATAATAAAAAGGAGTATTTAGAAAAGGATATGTTGCATGATAACTTAAAATTGACCTTAGCTTGCTATTATAACTTCCCTTAGCCTTTACCACTATAAAAATACTGAAGTTTAATAGTTTTTATAAATATTTCATGATTTGTTTCTGCAAAGTTTTAGCCATAATTATTTTAGCATTATTTGCAAACCTATAATGCCATTTAGTACATGCTTGAATAGAAAAAGGTTAGTTTTTTTTTTTTAAAAAAATCTTATTTTCTTATTTAATTGCAAAAGTAATATCTATATATAGTAAATAAAACAATATGGAAACATATGACAAATATTAATTTCTCTTTCTTCTCACAATCTCTCCTGGAGTAACTAATGTTATATTCTTTTTTTTTTTCCTGAGGCAGAGTTTTGCTCTGTTGCCCAGGCTTGAGTGCAGTGGTATGATCTTGGCTCACTGTAACCTCTGCCTCCTGGGTTCAAGTGATTCTCCTGTCTCAGCCTCCTGAGTAGCTGGGATTATAGGCATCCACCACCACACCCAGCTAATTTTTTCTATTTTTAATAGAGATGGAGTTTCGCCATGTTGGCCAGTCTGGTCTCAAACTCCTAACCTCAGTTGATCTGCCTGCCTTGGCCTCCCAAAGTGCTGGGATTATAGGCGTGAGCCCCTATGTCCAGCCTGATGTTATATTTGTCCATAATATTTGAGTGCTTAGTTATGTATACATACATGTGTATCATCCTTGTTTTGCATTTTCTTATTAAAAATACATTTGGAATAATGCTATATAACTCTGAAAATTTTTCCTATTTAAAAATATTTTATAGACATTTTTCCAGATTAAAATATATCTTGTTAAAAAGCTAAACTGTAGCCAGGTGTGGTGGCTCACACCTATAATTCCAGCACTTTTGGGAGGCTGAGGTGGAAGGATTGCTTATGTTTAGGAGTATGAGACCAGCTTGGGCAACATGGTGAGACCTGTTTCTACAAAAAATAAAAAATTAATTAGGCACAGTGGGGCATGCCTGTAGTCCCAGCTACTGTGGCAGCTGAGGCAGGAGGATTTCTTGACCTCAGGAGGTCAAGGCTGCAGTGAGCCATGATAGCACCTCTGTACTCAACCTGGGTCACAGAGGAAGATCTTGTCTCAAAAAATAAAAATAAAATAAAATAATTTAAAAAGTTGAATTGTATTAGCTATGCTTACATCATAATTTATGTACCATTCTCCTAATAATGGACATTAAAGGGAGGGAAAGTAGAAGTTACAAATTTTTAAAATAAATATTTGAAACACATTTTTTTAAACTGCACATTCCCTATTAGTACTGTTTTCTAGAACACATGATAAAAGTTTCATTTAATGATGAGTTCTTGGGATAGTGTCTTTCACGCTGTGTAAATAATGGACCCACAGATTATCCGTTGGTTTATTAAGTAAGTGATGAGAATTCTTGAAAATAATGTTTAATGTCTTTTCAGGCATATCTGCTGCCCAAGCATAGATTCTGTCCAAGGTATCAGGTATCAAGTTTAAATGTAGATGAGATAAAAGATTAGAGAGAATCATATATGGAAACACTTTTTAGGGCTTCTGACAGATTGATTTTATTTTGAGTCTAAGATTAGGATGATGGTGTATTTGCTTTATTAATGAAAATATATAGTTAAATTTTAAAAATCCCCAATTGAAAGGAAGTTTTTACTTATCAGTTGGGCCCAGATTTAGGTTAGTTGTAGTATCTTATATTTATGTAAAGCTTTATTCTCAAAAATTATAAGCCCACACACACTTTGTCCTCATATCTGTCAAATTCATTAAAGTGGTAAGGTTTTTTTTTTTTGAGATAAAATCTCGCTCTGTTGCCTAGGCTGGAGTGCAGTGGTGTGATCATGGCTCACTTAGCCTAGACTTTCTGGGCTCAAGCAATCCTCCTACCTCAGCCTCCTGAGTAGCTGGGACCACAGGCATGTGCTAATTTTTGTATTTTTTGTAAAGACAAGGTTTTACCATGTTGCCTAGGCTAATCTCGAACTCCTGGGCTCAAGGGATCTGCCTGCCTCAGTCTCCCAAAGTGCTGGGAGCCACCACACTGGCCTAAGTAGTACGTTTTCATCAAAGCATTGTAAAAAATGCATAAAGAAAAATTAGTACCTGGCATTTTCAACTTTTTGGAGGAAGTGCAAGTGAGGAGGAACCTGGCCTTTTATATATATATGTTCAACTATATTTCCTTCAAACCCCCAGTTTTGTGAATCTATGTTAATGAAAGTGGTTATGCCAGGCATGGTGTCACACACTGGTAGACCCAGCCTGACTGGTAGTCACACACTGGGGAAGGAGGATGATTAGTTAGGCCCAGGAATTTGAGGGCAGCCTGGGCAATAGTGAGATCCCATTGCTTGCGATTAATGTAATATATATAGTAAAATTGTCCAGGTGTTCTAAATACATAGTTTAAACCACTCATAATTGTAGTTTGATACTGTTTATGTCAAACATTTAAAAGGTGAAACTGTATCAAAAATAAAAATAAATAAGTAAGGCCGAACATGGTGGCTCACACTTGCAATCCCCACACTTTGGGAGGCTGAGGCAGGTGCATCACCTGAGGTCAAGAGCTTGAGACCAGCCTGGTCAACATGGTAAAATCCCATCTCTACTAAAGTACAAAAATTAGCCAGATGTGGTGACACATCCCTGTTATCTCAGCTACTTAGAAGGCTGAGGCAGGAGAATGGTTTGAACCTGGGAGGCACAGGCTGCAGTGAGCCAAGATAATGCCACTGCACTCCAGCCTGGGCAGCAGAGCGAGACTCCATCTCAAAACAAAACCAAAAAAAAGTGAAGCTACTCATTCCTCAGTTTAAAATGAAAAATGATTATGTTTTACTTCATCTAAAACTTCGAGTCTTTTCTTTATAAACGAAGACATTCATAGTGTAAAAATTTTCTACTCTAATTTGCTCTATGAGAACCCAGGTTTCTCTCTCTCTCTTCTTTTTTTCTTTTCCTCTCATTTTCCCTGTACTTCAGGTTAATCCGTGAAATCAATTTATGTTTCTGGATTTGACACTTTGTCATCAGTAGTATGTGCTCTTTCTTTTAAATGAAGATCCTTTTCCTATCTAGTTCACAATAAAATTACCAGGACTAATTGAAAATATCCATAAAGTACTTTGTATTCATCAGAGACAGAAGCTATGTAAATATGGGTCATGATTCTTATTCTTTTTTTCTCAAGATAAACCAAAAGGATTGTTTCATGGTGATTTGGGGGCTTAAATCGGTTAAAAAGAAGACACCACAATAGTTAAGCAAAATAAGTTTTTGCTGTTTTTTTGCTTTTTGGTAAACTATTAAAAGCACGAAGATACTTTCTGTAGCAAACCACATTAATTTGAGTAAAACAGTTTCCATTTTTTGAAGAAGTCATTCTTGACCAAGATTAACCCTGAATCCCAACTCAGGCATGTCAATAAACCACAGGCATGAAATGCTCCTCATAGTTCTTAGAGGGTGTTTTTTGGTGGACATATCCATGTTCCATAGTTAAACTTGAGAGAACTACTCAGAGATATCATAGTCCTTTAAAGAGGGAGCAGAAGAGAGCAGATGGCTGTTAATTTTTTTCTTTCTTGTTTTTTTTTAAACTTTAAACAAAAATTTTTTTAAGAGAGAGACACTTGCTTTGTCCCCAGCTGGAGTGCAGTGGCCCAGCCACAGCTCACTGTAACCCCAAACTCCTGGGCTCAAGTGATTCTCCCGCCTCAGTCACATGTTACCTACACCTGGCTGATGATTTTTTTTTTTTTTTTTTTAAGATAGGGTCTCACTTTGTCACCCAGGCTGGAGTGCAGTGATACAATCTCAGTTTACTGCGATCTCTGCCTCCCAGGTTCAAGTGATTATCCCATCTCAGCCTCCTGAATAGCTGGGATTACAGGTACATGTCACCATGTCTGGCTAATTTTTTGTATTTTTAGTAGAGATGAGGTCTCACTATGTTGGTCAAGTTGGTCTTGAACTCCTGGCCTCAAGTATCCACTTGCCTTGGCCTCCCACAGTGCTGCGATTATAGGCATGTGGCATGTGCCACCATGCCATTCCTGGCTCATGAAATTCTTTAAGAGGACTTCCTGTTGGCTCTTATATACAGCTGAAATAGTAATCTGATGAAGAAAGACAAGGCTGTTCTCACCTCAGCTTCTGGTCTTTCTGAACTCAAACAGGATCTCGCTTCTTTGGGAACCTCACCTGAGGTCCTGCCACCCTTACTGTGGCTCCCAGGGCATCCTGGGATTTTCGTAATGCAGAGCTCTCCACACTACGTTGTAACTGCTAATTGGCTTCTCTGTCTTTCCATTGAGCTAAAACTCTCTATGAGTAACAACTATGCCTTACCTACCTACCTAGCATGGTACCTGGCATATGGTAGGTTCTTAATACCTGTGAGTTTAAGTTACAAAAAATATTTTTGTGTGTGTGATGGAAGGACATGGAAAATACTATGACATAGCATTAGGGTACACAAGCATACATAGATTAACTCCCAATAAAATTATAAACCACAAGAAATCAATTAATATTTACCATTCAATCCTTGAATAAACATTATTTATTGTTGGAACCTTTATTTTTAAAAATATGTGGTACCAATTTTTGTATTTTATAAATGAAATAGTTCTTGGATTATAGTAAGCACTCAATAACTATTAGTAACTACTACTACTAACACTAATGGTATATATTCTTTTTGTAGATAAAATATGTGTGCCAAAATTTTAAACAGATGTTCAAAGGAAAGTTGTCTTCTGATTAAGAAAGTCCTGCTAGGAAGAGCAGTAACTTGATGAATTCGGTGATGGTTCTTTAATTTCATCTCTAGAAAATGTCAATTTCTCAGTTATGCTTCCATTATCTAATTCTAGGTAACTACCTGAAGTCAAATTATTCACAAGATCTTACACTATATATTCCTTAAAACACACCCAACAAACAGAAAAAGATTTAGTAGGTGGACATGCCATAGATGTGTAATCCCGAGGAGCTAAGATAGCTAGGAAAATGAATTGGTAACCTATGACGATGTAACAATTATATAAAGTTCTATTATGCTTATCTGTTTTCTTCACTACTAAATTTCTTGAGAATAAGGACAACTTTGCTTATCATTGCATATTTGGTATTGAATAGTTGCTAGCCCATAGTAAGCTCTTAATAATTGTTGAATGAGAGAGTAGCTTGGTGTGTATATGCTCTGAATAAAATAAGCCAGATTTAATGAAGGTTCTTCTGGCTCCCTAAATAATACAAGGTCCTACTGAGTAGGAACATCTATGTTCTTTGGTCTCTCTGTTTTTCTCGTGGTATAATCCTGGCAACTCTATGCTCTTGGCTCTTGTTTCTCTAGATTCCAAGCAAATTGCAGATGTGCTGTTCTTGTAGCTTTACCACAAAGCAAGTTTACCATAAAGTGATTATTTTCAGGTTCACTAGTCCTAAGAACTTAGTTTTTAGTGATTCATAGATAACTTCAGTAGCATCCTTACAAACTAAAGTTTGTGGAGGAGTACTTTAACAGGTGAGGCCTCTTATCTTGGTAATGTTAATTGATTCAAGTACGTTCTGGGCACTGGAGATACAGGGGACCAAAATAGTTTCTGCATTAAAGGAATTTGTATCCTAGTTGTCAGACAGTAAATGCGTGAGCAAGCAGATTTTGTTGCCAGGTTGCTTCTCATTCAAGACAGCTGACTACAGTGTAGTTTAAGAAAATGGCTAGGGTTAGCAAATTACCAACAGTTTTTAAAAAGTCAAATTCAAGGCTGGAATGGTGGCTCACACCTGTAATCCCAGCACTTTGTGAGGCTGAGGCAGGAGGATCACTTGCGCTCTGGAGTTTCAGACCAGCCTGAGCAATATGGTGAAACCCTATCACTACAAAAAAAATACAACTAGCTGGGTATAGCCAGGTGTGCCTGTAGTCCTAGCCACTAGGGATGCTGATGTGGGAGGATTGACTGAGGCTGGGAGTTTGAGCCCCACTGCACTCCAGCCTGGGCAACAGAAAGACACCTTGTCTCAAAAAAAAAAAAAAAAAAAAAACCCAAAACACTGCAACCTCCACTTCCTGGGTTCAAGCGAGCACTTCTGGCTAATTTCTTGTTTGTTTGCTTTGTTTTTGTAGAGACATGTTGGCCAGGCTGATCTCAAACTCCTGACCTCAAGCGTTGCCTGCCTCAGCCTCCTAAAGTGCTGGGATTACAGGTGTGAACCACCACACCCAGCCAAAAAATATATATTTGCTATCTGTGTATACACGGTAAATATGCAAATATATAAAAATTTATATTAAATGTATATATATTGAATTTACATAAATATAAATATATATTTAAATAATAAGATGGGGGTCTTGCAGTATTGCCCAGGCTGGTCTTGAACTCCTGGGCTCAAGCGATCCTCACTCCTTGGCTTCCCAAAGTACTGGGATTACTGGTGTGAGCCACTGTGCCAGGCCTGTTAATGGAAATTTAATAATACTGATGGTATATTTAGCATCCAATGCTTCCTGATTCTCCCAGATGCTTTAAACATGCCCACTAAAGATTAATTAGGATGAGACAATTTAGTACTATGTTTTCTATTAAGAAACTTTTTCATATACTTAAGATATGATTTATTGTCATAGTTTTAGAGATCGTATTTATTGAGTAAAAGTACTCACTCAAATGTACTTTGTCAAAGTGACGAAGATATGACAGAATTTTGAAAAATTATTTTTGTCCTGTATTTCACATTTCCCCAAGAATATAGAATTTAAGTACAAAAAGTGTACTTGCTTTGCCTAGTTTTACAGTAAAAAACTGTGTTGATTGTGTTGACTCTGTATCAGGTAGTGATAAGTGCTTTGTGTTTAATTTTTCTTCTCTTTTAATGATAGTATTAGGAGGAGGTTCTATTACTATCTTGTTTTTACACATGGAAGATAAAGCTTAGATGTTAGGGTCTGTGACCAGGTGTGGTACCTCATGCCTATAATCCTAGCACTTTTGGAGGCATAGGTGGGAAGATAGTTTGAGTCTAGGAGTTTGAGACCAGACTGGCCAGGTGTGGTAGCTCATCCCTGTAATCCTAACACTTTGGGAGGTTTAGGTGGGAGGATCACTTGAGGCCAGGAGTTTGCGACCAGCCTAGTGAAACCCGTCTCTACCAAAAAAAAAAAATTAGTTAGGTGTAGTGGTGCACTCCTGCACTTCTAGCTACTAGGGACGCTGAGGTGGGAGGATGACTTGAGCCCAGTAGTTAGAGGTTGCAGTGAGCCATGATTGTGCCAGCTTGGGCAACAAGGAGAGACTTTGTTGTCTTGAGAGAAAAAAAAAAGTTAGAGTTTGTTCAAGATCACATAATTAGGAAAAGATAGCATGAATGTAGGCCTTCTAATTGCTGAAGGCTGTGCCCTAACCACAATGCTGCCCTGCTCTACCAAGCTCACTGGACCTCTTTCTCTGCATGTCACATCCTTATTCGGAGAGGCTGACTTTTCCTCAGTTAAACACAACAATTCCTTACCTTTCAGAATTCCTCATTTCTACACCTTTCTAACCAGTATGTCTGTTATGATTTCCCAGGTGTTCCATACAGATCTGTATTGTGGACTCTAGGCTTTTAAAAATGGTCTATTTTCACTCTACACATATTTAAAAGTGGTATTGATGGCAAAGCAAACGACACATTTGTAAAAAATTTCTTGGAGAACATGGATGTATGGAGTAGTTCAGGGAGATGTTGTGAGTTGGGCAGCTTATGTACATACTTTTTTCTTGCTAACAATATAAAACATGTTGGTGTTTAGTTCTGCATGGTGGTCCTCTGACTGGAAGTTACAGGTTACGGCAGTTTCATCTTCATTGGGGATCCGCTGATGACCACGGCTCTGAGCACGTAGTAGACGGAGTGAGATATGCTGCGGAGGTAAGGCATCAGGCACACCTTTTTGATACATAGTTTTACTACATAGTGGGATTTAAGGGGTACAGGGACACAAATAGGTCCTGAGCCAATTAGGTTTTTTAGTGTCTGAAATTACTTTATTCATTCAATATGAGAGTTTATCAATATGAGAGCTTCAAATATTGCCCTCCTAAGCCTTAAACCAACCCTGAGAGCTTGGAGTTTTACGTTCCCATTTGAGAAATGAATAAACTGGTTGCTGGAGAGATTAAGTAATTTATCCAGCTAGGAAGCATTGAGACATGTTTAAACCTAGATCTGTCTGATACCAAATTACAAATTGTTTCTAGCCACTGAAAGGCCAGTGAGAAGAGAGAGAAAGAAACTTTTTTTTGTCTTAGGTCCAAATGTGGTCATTCTTCATTCAGATACCAATATCTACTAACATGTAAAGACCACATTAAATAGGTGATATTTAAATAGGTAAATGGCAAAATTTCACTTAGAAAAAAAAAGACAGACTCTTCTAAACTCTATGTTTACAGGCATAAAATAAAAATGTCTGTTAATTATTCAGCTTATTGGTAAATCATAACACAACAAAGCGTTCATTGACTTGTTTTTGCTCCCTTTTCCTTATAATTATATTCATCAAAAATACTCTTTGTGGATGATCTGGATTAAAAAATTATTCTACTTTTTTTAATCTTCTGGTTAAAGAACAAAGCAAAATAAGCTTAAAGTTTAATATGATTAAATATTGCTAACACCTAACATTGCCATGAGATGAAAGTGAATTAGATGACTCAATCGATACTATTCAAGTGAAAATAATTTGGCTTCTGAGTCGCCTAGGCAAGACAGAGCAATGTTATCAGGAAAGCACAATTTTTCATCATGTTCTCATGGTTACTGAGCTGTCGAGTTTAGATGCCCCGAATAGCCCTACTGTTCAGAGAAATCCAACAATCAGAACTTTTTTCCACTTTCACTCTTCCATTGACATGTATCTCTGCCCTTTGAGGCTATGGTCCAAAATGTTTGCTTTGCAACTAAATCACTTGTGTGTGAAGCCAAATAGCTTTAGGGTATGGAACCTGCTCTGTCCTCAGGGTAGAGAAAGAAAAAATATACATATGAAGTGTTTTATGATCATGGACAAAATATGTCAAGAAGGTAGAAAATGGGACTCCTGAATATGTATGGTGTCTCAGTTTGGATAATTTACTGAATAGTTTTCATGTTTGCTTTCTGAAGTTTTATGTTCTGAATATAACATGTTCTAAATCTCCAAAGCACCCTCGGGACTAATTGCTGGTTGCTTTGGATCACTGGTCTCTCATTTTCCTTAGCAACTCTGGAAAGTTGGTCAGAATGCTTTGTGTGGCTGCACCTTATACTTTAATAAACTTGAAAGTACTGCATACTCTCAGACAGGCTTAGGTTTAGTGCCAGCTGGCGGGTAGTTTCCTGAAAAGGATCCTCCTGACCGATGTCAGAGGCTCAGAGTCCTGCCCTGCAGATCACAGTGCAGTTTTGTAGATGAAGATTTGTTGTTGTTGTTCTGGAATAAATCATTATTTATTTATTTAGCAAACCAGTGAAGGAAAGGACAAAACCTTTGGTTCACTTATGTATTTATGAATGGAAAAAATTATAATGCAAATTTCACTTATTAAAAAACCTAGGTACAAATTACAACATTACAGATAACTCTTTTGTTGTCCTTCTTTTGTTTCACATGGAGACCTCAGAGACTCAATTCATGTTAAGTCTCCCAAGTATGAGTCCTCCAGGTAAATATTACACAAATTGGAAGCATCTTGGAATTTTTAAGTGTATTTTAAGACATACATTTCTATGCATGCTTTAAACAAACAGTATTTTTATTTACTTTTTTGAGACAGAGTTTTGCTCTTGTTGCCCAGACTGGAATGCAATGGTGCAAGCTCAGCTCACCACAACCTCTGCCTCCCGGGTTTAAGTGATTCTCCTGCCTCAGCCTTCCGAGTAGCTGAGATTACATGCACCCACCATCATGCCCGGCTAATTTTGCATTTTTAGTAGAGATGGAATTTCTCCATGTTGGTCAGGCTGGTCTCGAACTTCTGACCTCAGGTGATCTGCCCACCTTGGCCTTCCAAAGAGTTGGGATTACAGGTGTGAGCCACCACATGCGGTTGATACTATTTTTATTTTTTTAAATAAGAGAATCTAATTAAAAAAACTATGACCAGCACCAGAATTTAAAGAGAAAGCTTTGTGAATAAAGCTTTGAATGGATTTTTCTTTTTTTCTTTCTCTTTGAGATAGGCTCTCGATCTGTTGCCCAGGCTAGAGTGCCATGGTACAAACATGACTTACTGTAGCTTTGACCTCCTGGGTTCAAGGGATCCTCCCACCTTAGCCTCCAGAGCAACTGGACCACAGGTGGGCACCTTAAAACCTGATGGATGAAGGGGTTTTAAGTTAAACCTGGCTTAACTTAAAACCTGATAGATGAAGGGGAGGGAACCAGGTCAAGTGGGGAGACAGCAGTGGTTTTGCATAAAGTCATGAGTGAGGATTTAGGTTGAGAAGAGGGCTTACACATGTGAAAAACAGTATGGCCTTCAACAGTGTAGTTAGAGCATGGAGAATAAAGGGGAGAGTTGTAAGAGGCAGAGCTGGAGAGGCTGGAAAGGGCCTGATCTTACTGAGGTTAAGTCCTGGTAAGGACTATTAACATGATTCCAAGTGCAATGGGAAGCCACTGAATGGCTTTGAATTGGGAAGTTGTGTTATTGCATTTCAGAAATAATTCAACTACTGATTGAGAATAGATTGGATGGAAGCAGGAGTGGCTAAGGGGAGCTTTGAAGGAAACTTTTGGGGAAGGTTCCAGGCAATAAATGAGAGTGCAGGTTGAGGCTGGCTGGCTGGAAGATGCAGCTTTAGTGGGATTTGTCGATTGGTGGGTTGGAGAGTGAGGGAGGGCAGGATCTATGTTTCTAGGTCAAGATAGAAAATGCAGATAGAAAAAGTCTGGGTTAAACTTCAGGGTTGGTAGGGTGGGAGAGGTAGACAATAAACAAATCAATAAATGGTGCGTGGTAAGTTCTTTGATGGGAATAATACCATGTGATCTGGTAGAGTGGCTGAGGGCTTAGGAAAAACCACTTTGAGGTGATACATGAATTGGGACTGCATGATAAGAAGAAAGCACTATGAGAAAAATCTAGAGGGAATATTCCAGGAAGTGGGAGCAGCAAGCATGAGTGATCTAAGGCAGGAGTGAGGCTGGCATGCTCAAGAGGAGAAAGTCATTGGCCTATAGGATTGAAATTAATGAGAAAGGAAAAGTTACGTGCTCCATCCCAGAGAGGCAGGCAGGGACCATGGCACATCCAGAGCTGTTGCGCATGGTAAGCAATCTGAAGTTTGTCTATGATGCAGTGGGAAGAAGACAATGGAAAGTTTTGGTCAAGGGAATTACATATTCTCCTTTGTGTTTTATAAAATATAACTAGCTGCTGTGTGGAGAGGAGGCTGTTATCAGGCAAAAGGGCTTAACATCTTTCTCAGTCCTTCCCTGACAGTGACAGTGAATTAGAAGGTTATGGAAGTCATTCAAGTATGGGGGTGGTGGAGACGAAGAGAGCTGGACAAATCTATGATGTTTGGGAAATAAAGTCAATAGGGTTTGCTGATGAAAAGGATGTTGTGATTGAAGGACGGAAAAAGAGGAGTTTAGAAACACTCTCAAGATTTTGGTGTGAACATATCGGAGGGTGGTGGTACCATTTAATGAAACGTGCAAGTCTGGGAAGGAGCAGGTTGCAGAGAGGAATTCACTCTGTTTTAGGCAGGTTACATTTGAGATGCCTGTTAGACATTCTAGGCTCATGTTCAAGTAAGCCGTTGGATAAAAACTTCATTTAAGAAGAGGTCAAGGCTAGAGATGGGGGCACTTGGGAGTCCTTGCATTTGGTTTCACGTTCAAAAGAACCTCTTGGTGCTCAGTTCCATGATTCCAAGGAGTTGATTAGTTTTCCAGCTACTTTTGTACTGAGTTCATGACTATCATCATGTTATGTTCCCTTGTGAGTAAAAAGAAGTAAAAAAGTAAAATAAAATAAAATAAAATAAAAAACATTTAAAGTTGCAACATATACAACTTTAATTTTAGGCCTAATAGGAGGGTTTGTGATATTACAGAGGGATTAAAGTGATCTAAATCAAGAAACATTTTATCCTAAAGTTAGGCATCTACAAAACTAGGCTAATTGTCCATTTTGTGTTTAGAACTTTTTCTAATGACAGTTTAGACCGAATATCTAATATGCATTTTAAATATGTAGCTAATAGTGAAACTACGATTTCAACATTCATCATGGATTTTTGGCGTAGTGCTTGGCAGTATGTTTTGCATGTCACTAATAGGCAGTTTGAAACTACTTAATTTTAATATTATTATTTAGAAACTAGTTGCCAGTAGGGAAGAATCTGATTTTCATTTTTGTAGTGGTTACAACAATTTCTTGTCATTCAGCTCAGATCACTGCTCTTGTCATTGTTAGGAAATGTGAGTTTGCTATTTTGTTTTTCTATGTTTTAATTCAAATATAATGCTAATAGAAATAGTATCAGTTCCTAGTATTGCTGCCAGTTAAGCAAGTTGTATAGGAGAGAAAAAAAAAGATTTTCTTGGCCTAGTTTCCCATCATATTTTAAGCAATTGTATTTTTAACTAGCAAAAGAATGGTTATATATAAGATATATGTGTGTGTGTGTCCATTGATCTCTCTTTAGTTATACATTTATTTTTTAATCAGTTCTCATTGTGACCCTAAAGAAGTCCTTTTCCATCTTTCTCTCGGGTGTCATCTGGTATACTAAGAGATCTGGTACACTGTACTAAGAGATCTGGTACACTGGCATGGAGCCACTTGAAACAGTCTTAACATCCTTATCAGCCCTTCCCTGACAGTGAATGTCATTTGTCTCATGTGAGCCAAATGAATTATGTTTCATCATCCAGTGTTTTCAGATTCTTTCCTCCCCCAACTGTCTCACACCAACTTGGAACATGGCACTACGGGGATCCACTTTTATATTACTTGCCTGATACCACACAGTCTTCCTTGATTGTGAATGGTGCACCGTTTTATCGTTTTATAGTTGACCGTTTATGATAATTGTTATCTATCCAGAAATTATCTCCTATAAATTGCCTGTAAGACATAGAGTTATACTTAAAGGCTGAGATAAACATATATTTGAATATGCTATATTATCTCTGTAACATTCAACTAGAAAGATGATTTGGGCATGAAGGCCCACATAAGTATTTCCTCTCTGATAAACAAAAGGGATTCATTAGAAGAGATATTGTCTGAAGTCAGTCCCTTATATCGGGTCCTTGGACACCATGTCCTGATCACCATTTATTATTGTAGCTAAATCTTTGGGCGTGTCACATTACCCTTTGGCTTCTGTCTCAGTTTGTCCTTCCCTTAACAGGGCTGGAGACTCCTCAAAAGTGGTTTTCTCCTTTGTTGTTATTCTGAAATCTTTCACGAATGTGGGTGTGTTTGAGATGCTGTATTGCTTGCAATGGTAGAACATTTAGGATACCTTTAGGTGTTGCATAAGGCTGCTTGCATCATATGGGTAGAGTTATGAGGTGGGTTTTCCAGAGTTCCAGGCCCCTCCACCTCCTTCACTTCCAGTTTTTCTACTTATCCTCCACCTTAGTACCACCAGCTACCCTCCCATTTTCTTCCTCTGATTCCTAGACTACTGAAGCTTCTTTTTCCCCCATTGAAACTTGCTCTCAGCAAAGTATCTAAACATATTCATAGAAGGTGGTAAATGTATCAAAATGATAAGCATTTTTATGTGTGAGATGATGAATATGTTAACTAGCTTGATTTAATCATTCCACATTTAAACAGATATTAAAACATTACATTGTGCCCCATAAATGTATACAATTATGATTTGCCAATTAAAAATCATCTTAATAATAAAAAAGTTTGAATGCTGCTTAACATGATTACTCATAAGGAGACTTTGTATTTTCAAGCCATAAAAAGTCTTAAAACAACAGGTAGTAAACATTTAACTGGGCAGTTTTAGAAACAGCCTCACTGTCCTTGGTAGCGGGATTGTCCTTGAAAATCTACTGGGTAGGAGATTGACTTCTCTACCCATCTGTGAGCTCAGGCCCCTTGCCTGGACTTTACTTTCAGCCAGGATCTGATCTGAGGCTACTCCATTGCAGTCTCATCTGTGGAAGACATGGAGGAGCCTCCAGTTACTTGGGAGCAGTAGCTTGAGTTTGTTAGGGATACAGGGGCTGTTCACAGGCTTTTTTTTCCCCGTTCACAGACATTTTTTCTGTTCACAGGCATTTTCCCATTCATAGGCATTTTTTTTTCCTGTTCACAGGCATTTTTTTCCTAACATAGGCATTTGTTAGGGATACAGGGGCTTGTTTAAGGCATTTTTTTCCCTTTTATTTCGAGATGAAGTCTTCCTCTGTCAGTCAGGCTGGAGTGCTGGAGTGCAGTGGCGCGATCTCAGCTCACTGTCACCTCCACCTCCTGGGTTCAAGCAATTCTCTTGCCTCAGTCTCCCAAGTAGCTGGGACTACAGGCATGCACCACCATGTCTGGCTGGGATGCTTAAGTCATTCTATATAGTCTTTAATATAGTGCACCACAGGCTAGTTAAGTGACCATGATTCTTCACTACTTGAACTTTCACTTTTGGACAAAAGTAAATGAGAGGATTCTGTCCAAGATTCTTGTGATAACTACATTATACATATGAGTATACCAGCACTGGAAAGTCTGTAAATGTTTTATTTGCATTTACGTTTTTTGGGATATCCAACAAAACATTCCAACCATGTTGTCTGTCTCCCTTTCAGCTCCATGTTGTTCATTGGAATTCAGAAAAATACCCCAGCTTTGTTGAGGCAGCTCATGAACCAGATGGACTGGCTGTCTTGGGAGTGTTTTTACAGGTGAGAATCCATTGATTTCATTTTCAATGATCAGCCTTGTTGAAGAGAGAGCTTCAGTCATGAAGCAGACATTCAACCATCCTGTAATAGTAAACTCCTTTTAGGTATAGCATTTTCCTTTTGAAATGAATATTAAAAATTATATATTCATTTAGGAGCATTGTCTTATAAGTCTTCTTATTGTCCATTGATCATTTTTATGTGAATAACAACAAGATCAAGAATAGCATCAACATCAAGAATAGCAGCAGAAATAACAACTGAGATACTGGAAGAAAACATTCATTCTGGGCTCTTCCTAACTGCATACTATTTAGAACAGAATAAAGTTCAAGCTCCTGATTCTTGAAACACTGGTCTCACCACAATGACGTATTGTCCCAGTGTACTCACTGGTTTTTAAAAAAATTTTGTTGTGTTTCCTTTAATATTCACATGTGGTTAGACAACTATTGTCATCATACCTGGGAACAGGTTGGGCCTTTCGCCTCCCACTGCCTCCACATTCTTGTAGGCGTGCACCTTTGTCACACCCCATACTCTCTATGTGTTGTAACTCATGAGCAGAGATTGTCATGGATGGCAACAATCCCTTGCCTTTAAGGACACCAAATAGGGGTGATTACAGCAGGATCCAAGTGCTTTAAAACCTTCAGGTAGATTCAGAACACCTGTAGTGATGAAAAGAGGATCATTTATGTATCTACAATTTATGATGAATTTGCTTATGATGATATATTCCCTTTGGGATCCCAAATCATTTTAGGCTGCATGTGTGAGATGTTTGCATCTAGTATTTTGATGCCACCATTGTCTAAATTTGGGGTTTGACTGTCACATCTAGCTTAGTAGTGCAGGTTATTTGTTAGACTGTCTTAAGCAAAGTTTCTCTCAAGTGAACCTACATTTTAAACAGTGACAAAACTTAGCAAATATTAAGCTGTTGTTACTGTTAGTTTTGTAGCCAAACTGAAAGTTCAGTACAGGAACTCTGTAATATTATCTTGTTGTTCAGATTCTTCTGGCATGATAAGGCTGGCAGGTAAAAGAGAAGCTTTGTTACAGAACAATCACTGTATGTTCTGTGCTGTGTACGGTTTTTTAAAAAATAATTTTAAAATAATGAGTGAAATTGAGTGATTCAGACTTGATGTGCTACAGTAACCATTTCTTTTGAAATTTTATGTTTTTAGATTGGTGAACCTAATTCCCAACTGCAAAAGATTATTGATATTTTAGATTCCATTAAAGAAAAGGTAAAATGAATTACTGTCTGTTAATAATTAACATATTTCTTGTTTTCTCCTACATTCTCTTATCTTCCTTTAAAGACTTAGACCTTAGACATATGCTGCCTGCTTTGAAGCAAGTTTGAAACATACTTGATGAAAAGAGCAGAAGTAACATATTACCACTTGTATTTTGAATGGTAGGGTATTACATTACCTAAAATAAACAGAATAAATATATGTACGCATAATAAGTCTCTGGTATTATATTACAGAGTAAGCCTTTAATTGTAACACATTAAGGGACCGCTTATATTAAAACAAAACTTGTGCTTTTTAAATAAATTTATATGAGATGTTAGTTTATCTAAAAATTATAAGATGAAGATAGATGCTTTTTAAAAGATACTAAAGGAAGATAATAGATAATTCTAGATACAGATATTCCATATTGTTCATGGAATTATAATGGATGTACATGGAGGTATGTTTTTTGAGGTCTATGTAAAGCTATCCCATTCTAATATTTGGGAATTCTTTTCATTCCTCCAGGGTAAACAAATTCGATTCACAAATTTTGACCCATTATCTCTATTTCCACCATCCTGGGACTACTGGACATATTCTGGTTCTCTTACCGTTCCACCTCTTCTTGAGAGTGTCACATGGATTCTTTTAAAGCAACCTATAAACATCAGCTCTCAACAGGTACACAATCTCTTCCAGGTTGATACTGATTCCCTCAGAGAAAACTGGGCTTCCTTTTTAAAACCATGCCCTTGATTTCTGCTGCATTTTGAAGATGTTTTCTCGCTATTAATCAGATGGGTGATTGGGCTAGAGGAGATCTATGATCCTTTCTTATTTGACCTTTTATGATTAGACGATTTCTTTGCCACAACTTAGAAATGTACCTAGTGACACTGATGAAAGTGAAGCATTATTTTGAGCACTACAATTGTTTGCTTTTGTTTTGTTGCTGTTTGTTTCATATGTTTGTTTGATACAGGCTGAGATACAAACAAAAAATCAGAGAGAGGCTACTTATAGAAGGTGACATTTTTCTTTCTGACCTTAGTCTCCACACCTGCTTCTACAAATTTCCAAGTGAAACTTGAGGACAGTGATTGGTGCACTGCCCTAAGAAATGTTTGCCTGCTAAGTGTAAGAAGTTGTTACTTTGTACACTTAAAAACTTGTAAAGTGGGTAGACTGAGCACAGTGGATCCTGCCTGTAATCTCAGCACTTTGGGAGGCTGAGCTGGGTGGGTTGCTTGAGTCCTGGAGTTCAAGACTAGCCTGGGCAACATGGGAAAACCCTGTCTCTACAAAAAATACAAAAATTAGCCGGGCGTGGTGGTGTGTGCCTGTAGTCCCAGCTACTCAAGTGGCTGAGGTAGTAGGATCGCTTGGACCTGAGAGGTTGATGCTATAGTGAGCCATGATTGTGCCACTGCATTCTAGCCTGGGCAACAGAGGAAGACCCTGTCTAAAAAAAATTTTGTTAAGATAGTAGATCTCATTTAGTGTTCTTACTACAATTATAAGAAGAGGAAGGAGAGAGAAAGAGGAGGAGAGTGATATGGAGAGGAGGAGTTGTTGATCTTTTGGCATTTGTTAGCAAAACTTTTGTTGAGCTGTCTGAGGGTCTTAATGCTTAAGCATTTGTGGAGAGGCTATGGGATACCTCTTTTTGTGTAGATATCTACTCACACATTCTTATGTTAAATGCTTATTGAGCTGCCCCTATAGGCCAATAGTCTGCTAGACTCAGGATATCTAGTCTGTCGCCCAGGCTGGTGTGGAGTTGGTGTAATCATAGCTCACCCCAGCCTTGAACTCCTAGGCTCAAGCCATTGGTCTTCCTGCCTTGGCCTCTCAGGTAGCTGGAACTACAGGTGTATGCTACCATGCCTAGCTTATTTAAAAAAAATTACTGTAAACAGGGTTTCACATTATTGCCCTGGCTGGTCTTGAAGTGAACCACTTCTGGCCTCAAATGATCCTCCTGCCTCGGCCTCCCAAGGATTACAGTGCTAGGATCATGTTCAGTGTATTCAACTTGGAGCTTGGAGCACTGAACAATGGGGCTGACCAATCTGGCAGGTGGATGCTGTGTTTTTGGATGCTGTGCTTCTTCGTTGGCTTTGGTTTTGTTGTTCTTTTTGAATTCGTGCAATATCTTAGCATGAATAGTCTAGTAATTTTTGCAGCTAATAAAGTACAAATGTACTGGGCTTGCCCACCTGCCTAGCTGTTTATTTTTTCTCCTAATGATACCAGAGCTGGTCCTCCTTTACAAATCATTTCAGGCAGCATTTCCCCTTGGGGCATTGAACACATCCTTCTTTCTATTGGGTATTTGTTCTTATTGACCTTGTCTTTAGTATCAAAGACAAATAATAACCTGGTGTATAGTTTTTAAAACATTTTACAAAAGTCTGCTTAGAAATCCAGAGCTTGACTGACATGAAAACTCCTGTGAATTTTTTCTATCATTGTGTCTAGAGAAAAATGACCTGTAACTGATTCAGAGTCCTTATTAAGGGAATTCATTTTCTCCTTGTCAATGCGATGAGGAGAAATGGTTTACTTTTCTCCTCGTCATGGTTTACTTTTATATATCTTTATTAAATTTGAACTGAATAATATTAAGAATGAATAAACTATAACATCAAGGTAGTTAATAAGGGTTCATGTTTTCCCTCATATTTCAAGGGCATTGTTATTTCTTAAAGCCACTTGGAAAATAACTTCTTGTTTAGTTTTGTTTTTTGTTCTCAATCCACCAGTGATTTGGAAGAGAATATGTCAAAATATATAGTTTAGTTCCTTAAAAATAATAAAGTTAACCTTATTAAAAATATCTCCCTGCAAGTTTAGGAGTTATGATTCCCTAACTGTGGATTCACTACTTTGTCTTATTTGAGGCTCGATGATTAATATGATTAATGTAGTTTTTATGCAGAGCAATATATAAAAGAATAGCTGTATTTTAGAGCTCTGAAGTGATTGTTAATTCACTTTGGAGCATTCACTTAAATCTGCTATAGTAGGAACACTTTCACTTATTTTAGAAGGAACACTTTCACATATTTTAGTTTTTAACCAAATTGAGAAAGTTATTTGAGTAACAATTCAATATATTAAAATATGATATTATGGTGGTTTTAAAAGTTAAAGAATAAAGCCAAAGCAAAAAAAATTTAGTCCCAGTCAAACCATGAAAAAATATCAGGCAAAACCCAATTAGGGGATATTCTACAAAATATCCAGTCAGTACTCTCAAGGTCATTAAGACTGTCAAGGTCATAAAAAAATGGTGAGTCTGAGACACTGTCACATTTCAGAAATGCCTAAGGAAATATGAATACTAAATATAGTGTTTCCTGGGTGGGATCTTGGAAAAGAAAAAGACATTAGGTAAAAACAAGAACATCTAAATAAAGGAAGGACTTTAGTTAATTCTAACATTTTAATATTGATTCATTAATCATGGAAAATGTTCCATACTAATATAATATATTGATAATAGGAGAAACAGAGTTTGGGGTGTATGAGAAATATTTGTAGTATCTTTGCAATAATTCTATAAATTGAAAACTATACCAAAATAAAAAGTTTACTTAAAATATCGAAAACAAGCTGGGTGCGGTGGCTCATGCCTGTAATCTCAGCACTTTGGGAGGCTGAGGCTGGTGGATCACAAGGTCAGGAGTTCAAGACCAGCCTGGCCAATATGGTTAATCCCCATCTCTACTAAAAATAATAATAATAATAAAATAGCTGGGCATCGTGGCGGGTGCCTGTAGTCCCAGCTACTCAGGAGGCTGAGGCAGGAGAATCGCTGGAATCCGGGAGGTGGAGGTTGCACTGAGCCAAGATCGTGCCACTGCACTCCATTATGGGTGTCAGAGCAAGGATCCATCTCAATAAAAAAAAAAAGAAAAAAAATTGAAAACATAGTTAGGCACGGTGGCTTACATTTGTAATCCCAGCACTCTGGGAGGCCAAGGCAGGAGGATCATTTGAGGTCAAGAGTTCTAGACCAGTAAGGCCAAGATAGCAAAATTCTGTCTTTACCAAAAATATATAAATTAACTGGGTTTGGTGGCATGCACCTGCAGTGCCAGCTGCTGCAGAGGCTGAGGCAGGAGAATCACTTGAAACTGGGAGGTAGAGGTTGCAGTGAGCAGAGATGAAGCCACTGCACTCCAGCCTGGGTGACAGAGCAAGATTCCATCTCAAAAAAAAAAAAAAAAAATCTAAAACATAAACTGGTCTATAGAATTAATCCATCACTTAACTCTTTTATGTAAAATAAAATGAATGTCTTTTCTATATATCATTGACTTAAAGACTTTCCTTCCTTCCTTTCTTCCTTCCTTCCCTCCCCTCCTCCTTCCCCTTCCTTCCTTCCTTCCTTCCTTCCTTCCTTCCTTCCTTCCTTCCTTCCTTCCTTCCTTCCTTCCTTCTTTTCTTTTCTCTTCTTTCTTTTTTTCTTTCTCTCTCTCTCTCTCTTCCTTCATTCCTCTCTCTCTCTCCTTCTTTCTTCAGGATCTTACTCTGTCATCCAGCTCAAGCTGCAGTGGCACAATCTCGGCTCACTGTAACCACTGCCTCCTGAGTTCAAGCTATTCTCTTGCCTCAGGCTCCTGAGTAACTGGGATCACAAGCACCTACCACCAGACATGGCTAGTTTTGGTACTTTTACTAGAGATGGGGTTTTGCCATTTTAGCCAGACTGGTCTTGAACTCTTGACCTCAGGTGATCCACCTGCCTTGGCCTCCCAAAGTGCTGCGTGATTACAGGTGTGAGCCACACCGCCCAGCCAAGAGTTACTTTTCAAAAGATAAATTTTTGTCTCAATTTTGGATGGTCTTTATCTTTTTTAGGTCAATGAAAAATACTGTTTATATTCATTTTCCAGTTCCATCATATAATGTCACTGGCTGTAAAGACTAAATCCTTTTTTTTAGTGAGTTGGCACCAGATTATTTTCTCAGAGTTTCTCCGCAATTTCATGCCAAGTCATAGTTTGACCTAAGGGGCAAATCAGATATTTTTCATTTTTAAAAAAATTTAAATCCATTTTTCTCTCTCAGAGTCACTCCTCAAAGACTAAATTCTTAACTGCCATGCCAGTGAGCAGATAAATGTACTATCTTCTGATCCTTTTGAAGACAAATCTGTCATTTTCTCTGGAGGGCCAACTTTTCTTGCCAAGTCTCTTTGGGTTATCCTAAATTATGAACATTGGGTTACTTAGCTGAAATTCAATGTGCAAAATACTTGGCTTAGTTTCTACTCTCCTTAAACAAACAAACAAACAAATACCTCTTTTTGTTTATTATATATTATTTGCATGCAATAAAACTCATGAATTTTAAGTGTGTGGTTGCTGATTATGGTAACTGTATATAGGCATGCTACAACTACTATAATTATGATATAGCTCTCAACCAGTGCATTGGCTCACACCTCTAATCCCAGCACTTTGGGAGGTCAAGGCAGGTGGATCATCTAAGGTCTGGAGTTTGAGACCAGCCTGGTCAACATGGTAAAACCCAGTCTCTACTAAAAATATAAAAATTAGCCACGCGTGGTGGTACACGCCTGTAGTCCCAGCTACTCAGGAGGCTGAGGCAGGAGAATTGTTTGAACCTGGGAGGTGAGGTTGCAGTGAGCCCAGATCATGCCACTGTACTCCAGCCTGGGTGACAGAGTAAGACTTCATCTCAAAATAAATAAATAAATAAATAAAGGTATAGATCTCAGCCAAAAATTTTCTGGTGCTCTTTTTCAGTCCTTCACCTTCTCCACCATAGTCCTAGGGAACAACTTGTGTGCTGTCACTAGAATTTTACTTTTCTTAGAATTTTATTTAAATGAGTCATACACTAGATTTTTGTGTTTGAGTTCTTTTACTGGTATAATTTTTTAAAATTCACCCATTTCATTATTTATTTATTTATTTTCCTGAGACAGAGTCTTGCTCTGTTGCCCAGACTGGAGTGGAGTGTTATGATCTTGGCTCACTGCAACCTCTGCCTCCCAGGTGCAAGCAATTCTCCTGCCTCAGCCTCCTGAGTAGCTGGGACTATAAGCACTTACCACCACACATGGCTAATTTTTGTATTTTTGAAGGGATTCTCCTGCCTCAGCCTCCTGAGTAGTTGGAACTATAGGCACCCATCACCATGCCTAGCCAATTTTTATATTTTTAGTAGAGAAGGGGTTTCACTATGTTGGCCAAGCTGGTCTTGAACTCCTGGCCGTGATCCACCCATCTTGGCTTTCCAAAATGCTGAGATTACAAGTGTGATTCACCATTCCTGACTCATTTCATTAATTTTTATTACTGTGTAATATGCCATGGTGTGGATATATTTTTAAAAATATATTTCACAATTGATGGATATTTGGCTTGCTTTTAATTTTGGCCATTATGAATAATAGCAATCCATATTTGGATATTAGGAGTAATTTGCATACACACTTTTGTGTGTATACATTTTTATATGTCTTGTGTCAATACTTAGAACTGGAATTACTAGGTCATGTTTGTTTAATTTTGCAAAGTGCTCTTATATTGTTTTCTTTCTTTCCTTTTTTTTTTTTTCTGAGGAGTCTCACTCACTGCAACCTCCCAACTCCTGGGTTCAAGCGATTCTCCTGCCTCAGCCTCTCAAGTAGCTGGGATTACAGGTGTTCGCCATTATGCCCAGCTAATTTTTGTATTTTTAGTAGAGACAAGGTTTCACCATGTTGGCCGGGTTGGTCTCAAACTGCTGACCTCAAGTGATTTGCTTACCTTGGCCTCCAAAAGTGCTGGGATTACAGGCATGTGCCACTGCATCCAGCTGAGTGAAGTACTACTATATTGTTTTCTAAAGTGTCTGTGTCATCTTACATTCCCAGCAGCAATGTATAAGATTTCTAGTTGCTTCAGACCCCTGCAAGTATTTGGCATTGTCAGTTTTTCTAACTTTAGATATTCTAGTGGGTATGTGTGTATGTGTGATTTTAATTTGCATTTATCTAATGACCAATGATTTTGAACATTTTTTATACGCTTATTGGCTATGATTGTATCTCCTTTTGTTAAGTATCTGTTCAGATCATCTGTCCATTTTTACATTGGGTTGTTTGCAAGAGTTCTTTATATACTCTGGATAACAGCTCTTCCTCAGATGGCGCAGTGGCTCACTCCTATAATCCCAGCATTTTGAAAGGCTGAGGCGGGCAGATCACTTGAGGCCAGGAGTTGAAGACCAGTGTCGCCAACATGGTAAATCCTGTCTCCATTAATTAAAAAAAAAAATTAGTTGGGCATGGTGGCACTTGCCTATAACCTTAGCTACTCTGAAGGCTGAGGCATGAGAATCGCTTCAATCCAGGAGGTGGAGGTTGCATGAGTTGAGATTGTGCCACTGTAATCCAGGTTGGATAACAGAGCAAGACTATCTTAAAAAACAACAACAAAAAAAGTGAATCCTTGGGACTTAGAAATTCTGATTCACAAGTTTGGGGTAGGGTCCAGGAATCTAAATTTTTAAGAATTAACTCAAAGTATTTTCATTCAGATGCTTTGGGACCATCCCTCCCCAAACTGACTTAGAGTGATGAGACATGTGTGTGGACGTAATAGATCAATCTCGGAAGGTTAGTTAGAGCTGAGTGGTCAAGGAGCTTGGAAGCCACACTGACACGTTTGTTTTGGGTACCTATAAAAATGTTAGAAATGTAATGTATTACAGGGATGTATTTGGAGATGTTTAAAATGATATGATGTTTGGTATTTGCTTAAAAATAGCCTAGTGTGGGTAGCATGGCCAATGGAAAGAGAGCTTAGGTGGGAGAATGGTTGGAAAAATTGGCTGCGTGTTGATGATTGTTGATGTTGCTTTTTCTACCTTTGTGTACTTTTTAACATTTCCATAATAAAAAGTAACTTAAAAGGATAGGGAAAAATGCGAAAACAGAAAACAAGTTAGAGATAGTGTATAGTCCGTGGTTAGTGCATGGCTTGTTTGTCAAGATGGCTTATTTATTGAAACTTCTCAGCTACCCCTCAAGTTTCTCATCTGTGAAATGGGATAATTATATATTGATTGGGGCATTTTGGGGATTAACTAAGGTAATGTAAAGCACTTAACACAGTGCCTAGTCCATCATGCTTCATAACAGAAATTATTTTTATTATTACTCAATTTTGACAGGCAGTGGAATGCTATTAAAGAGGTTTGAAGGCTGGGCGTGGTGGCTTACACCTGTAATCCTAGCACTTTGAGAGGCTGAGGTGGGAGGATCACATGACATCAGCAGTTCAAAACCGGCCCGGCCAACATGGTGAAACCCCTTCTCTATTAAAAAAAAAAAAGGTTTGAGTATGAGAGTGACATAAAGCTGTTTACAGAACCATAGAAGAAGTGTATTTCAGCTTATCAGAGTTGCTACACAATGAAATTAAAATTTCAGTATTAGAGTCAAGGAAACCAGCAAAACAGGTCATACCTGCTTCAGCCTCAAAGCTGAACTGGGGACATTCCTACTGGGAACCTGTAGGTGCTGAGTCAGCCTTAGTGACAGAGGGGCAGATTAGCTGCCTGAATAAAGCCTGGAACCACATAAGGGGGTGAGACTGGTGAAGAATCAGCCAGGGATGTGCATTTTAAGGCCAGGACAGTGCTGGAGGACACCAGAGCCAATCTGAGTGGAGACTGGCAAATACAGGGTCAATCTAGCTGGGCCTAATGATTGTGACACCCAGAGTTATAAGGGGAAGCGGTTTGGCAAGACATCAGAACAGGTCTAGGGACTCTTTCCAAAATGCACAGGCTGGTCAGAGAAAGAGCTGAAGTTAGATCCAGTTCTAGACTGGTGAGCTGAATGTGCTGCTGGGGCAGGGAGCCATGATCAACTTCAGAGAAGTTGAACAGGGGCAGGAGCTGGGGCTCTGGGAGGAAAATCAAGCCAATGTCTTCAGAGGAATCAGCAGTATCACTGTGGAGGCAGGTTGCTTGATGAGGCCTGTGGACCTGTGCTTTGATTCAGGACTCAGAATTCCTGCATAGATACTCAGAATGGCCATGCAGGCAGACCTGGATTGTCATGATCTGCAGAAGGCTAGGTGTCTTTCCTATGGTCCCAGAGGTTACATTTTATTAGCCTCTGCTACTTGACCAGAGATTCTCTTAAGTCTCATGTGGTTATAGCTATAATGATCTGGTCTAATGAAACATGAGTAATAGTACATTGTAAACATTTGTCTCCTTCCCGTATCTGTACTTAAAAAAAACCCTCAAAATATTACACGTGGAAAACATGGTTGCTTGTATATATGATGGTTTATCCTATCTGCCACAGAGCATGGTTATAAACTGCTGCCTGTTTATAAAGGACTTCTCTCCCCTCTGCCCCCATCTGGTTAGTACTATACAAGAAACATTTTAGGCACAGGTATTTGATGAAAACCTGAAGGATGTGTCCTAGTCTGAATTTGCTTGACTCTGAGATTAGGTGGTTGACAAAGTTTAGAGAACAGAGGTTCTCATTCCTAATAGTGTGTCTTCATCAAAATAAAACAAAACAACAAGCACCAAAGATTTGCTTTTATTAATTGACAATATAATTTTGAAATTTCTTTAATTTTTTCAGCTTCACTTTAGACCTGTACTAAATATTAACAAATAATATTAAAACACTAAGGGATTGTTAAAAATTTATAAGACATATTTATAATAGAAAAGTTTTCAGCAATAGACAATAATGATGTAGGTTGATATTTATTGACATGCAAAGATGGCTAGGATATATACTAAGTGAAAAAATTAGACGTCAAAACAGCATGTATAGTTGAGTTCATTTTGTCATAAAACATATGTGTGTGTGTCTATATGCTGAAAAACATTCTCTAATTTCTAAATAGTTACTCTGTAAGCCACACTCTAGATGTTTCCTCTTGTTACTTTGATCATCAAATTAAAAATGCTTATATATTTAATTTTGGAATGTGCAGGTATTTGTACAGTGATGAGAATTCAGCAGAAGAGTTGCTTTATTTTATATATGACATGTAATAGAAAATTTTCATTGCAATTTTTTTGTTCCTGGTTGTAAACATATCTTAATTCTTTATGCAGGGTAATTCATTAATATTGGTGCGGATTTCTATTGCTGAAGCTAACTCCTTTCTTCGTCTACAGCTGGCCAAATTCCGCAGTCTCCTGTGCACAGCGGAGGGTGAAGCAGCAGCTTTTCTGTTGAGCAATTACCGCCCACCACAGCCTCTGAAGGGCCGCAAAGTGAGAGCCTCTTTCCGTTAAAACTTGTCACCAGTGAACTCCCGAAAACATGGCTGTGGAGAGGCAGTGAAACAAAACAAAACACAAAAGTCTCTGCCAGCAGCTTCTTTGTAGAATTCTAATTTATGGGAAACATTTTACTGTCAGCTTCAGTGTCACAAAGAAACACAAAGTAAACTAGATCTCTCTCTCCTTTTTGGTTTTTTTAGTGATAGGTTCTCACTCTCTCACCCAGGCTGAAGTGCAGTGGTACGATCTTGGCTAACTGCAGCCTCCAGCTCCTGGACTCAAGTGATCTTCATACCTCAGCCTCCAGAGTAGGCAGAACCACAGGCATGCACCAGCACACCTGGCTAATTTTTTTTTTTTTTTTTTTTTTTAGAAATGGGGTCTTGCTATGTTGCCCAGGCTGGTCTCAAGCTCCTGGCCTCAAGTGAGCCTCCTGCCTTGGCCTCTCAAAGTGTTGGGATTTCAAGTATGGTCCATCATGCCCAGCTGACCTAGATCTCTTTACTAACTTAACTTGTCTGTCTCATATTTGCATTAATGGATATTCACAGTTAAGCATTGTTTGACATATACTAAAACCCATGAAATATGTCTACTTCAACCTGGATGAAAATATGGTCAACATTGCAAACTTCAGCCTGTATTAAAAATTTTATCTTGCTATAGAGACTGGAGTAGTCACAGCTCTCAGTGATGTTAGGTGGAAATTTAAATTTATATCTCAGATGATAGGATTGTGATGCTTTTTTCAAAACAAGTGATTCTGCTTAATATTTTGTTATTCCAATTCATAAAAAGTAGATTATGTTTTCTTTTAAGGTGAATTTTTGCAATGATTATGTTGCTAACTCTCATTGCATGATACCTTTAATAAAGAGTTATGGGCAATGGGACAAAGCTACTTAAGGTGTCTCCTCCACTGATCAAAAATATTCCATATAGTCTTGGTGAGGAATTCCTCAGGATATAAATGCCTATTTTTACACTGTAATGAATGATACCATATGTAATATTCACTCAGTAATGTTAATAATGAACTGGCTAGAAATTGACAAGATGCAATGCCTACCAGTTTATAACATTAACATGGTTTGAAACTAACATATTATTTAGTACCAGTGGAGTCAGAGCTGCTCTCAGGCATGATGAACACGTTGCCCGTTTTTGCCTGGTGTTTTGGCAGCAAAGCAGGAAGCAATCTTGTTTGGGTCATTGTTCTGTCAATTTCTGGAAAAAATTACTTGAGTCTCATATAAATATACAATGGGTCCATGAATCCTTCAACCCATTTCCATGTCAAAACTCATTTTTCCTTTTATACATGTCCCTCAGTCTCTTAATTTTGTCAGGTGGGGCTTGATCTTAATTTTTATTTTTGTTTGTTTTTGGTGAAGGAGGATAAGAGTGGTGTTTCTTTTGTCCTTTTTCTGGTACAAATGGAGGGACTTAATTAACTTAATAACCACATTTAAGACTTGAACACATATAACACTTTTGTCATCTTCTAACATAAGTTTGCCTATATTTCCTTGATTTTGATGATTTGTTTCATATAGCTCTCTTCCTCTGGATGTAGATTTTTTTCTTCTTTTAGACAGACTCTAACTCTGTTACTGAGGCTGGAGTGCAGTGGCATAACCTTGGCTCACTGCAACCTCTGCCTCCCAGGATGATTCTCCTGCCTCAGTCCCTTGAGTTACTGGGATTACAGGCACACACCACCACACTTGGCTACTTTTTGTATTTTTAGTAAAGATGGGGTTTTGCTATATTGGCCAGGCTGGTCTCAAACTCCTGACCTCAAGTGATCTGCCCATCCCAGCATCTCAAGTTGCTGAGATTACAAGCATGAGCCACCATGCCTGGCCTGAATGTAAATTTTAATTATTGAACTTATTCTTCAGTGTTCTTCTTGATAGAATAACTGAGTATCAGTAAATTGGGTAACGATGATGTATACTGTTGTATAAGGTGAGCTCCTGAAGAGTGAAGCTGATATTTTAGTCAATATTCTTTTCACCTCAGTGTCTACTTTGAGGCCTTTTAGAAGACTGATCTGCAGCAATTATTTAATGAATTGAATCTTTAAAAATTTTTTATTTGCTATCTTTGGTAATTATCTCTCTGAAATAAAATGCACTACAAGTTAATATAACAAGTAAAATACATCATCTTTTGAAAATGGTTTCTTTTTGAAGGAATACTTATTAATTGTAACTTGTAAAACCAAAAGTTCTAATGGTTTTTAAAAACCAGTGTTGAGTGGAAAAGTGTTTCTTTGGTTTGGTAAGACCTGTGGAGAATCCTAGTCGGGGGAAAAAGCCTGTTTTCTCAAAGAATGTAAGTTGCTATATCTGGAGGGGCAAGGGTTCTAATTACTGTCTGTGAGAGTTATCACTTTGTAACTTATGGTTTCTGCTGCAGTATTGTGTCGGTTCCGTCCTATAAATTGCACCTTAATAGACCAAAAATATTTATATAGCACTGATTTCCTTGAATATTGTCTGTTAATTGATATATCTCCTAGAGGCAGAAGGTTTAAATGTGTGTTAAAATTGTTATATTGTCTCCTTTTTAAGAGTTGTAAATACTAGTGTAGATCTCTTTTGTTTCCTGCAGCAAATACAAAATACATTTGTATGGTTGTTAAGCATTTTGTATTTTAATTTAAATTGGATTCAACCACAATGAAGAAAGCTTTCAACTGTATCAGGGCCGTGTACATACAAGACATAGAATGAGATTGCATTTTACATTTCTTCTTTACTTTTCTTTCTGAGATAGAGTTTCCCTCTGTCACTCAGGCTGGAATGCACCAGTGTGATCTCAGCTCACTGCAGCCTTGATCCCCTAGGCTCAAGCAATCCTCCCAACTGAGCCTCCTGAGTTGCTGGGACTATAGGTGTGAGCCACCACACCTGGCTAATTTTTATATTTTTTATAGAGACAATGTCTCTCACTATGTTGCTCAGGCTGGCATTGAACTTCTGGGCTCAAGTGATTCTCCTGCCCCAGCCTCCCAAAATGTGGGAAGACAGGTGTAAGCCACCACACCCAGCCACGTTTTACACTTTTAATTTAGAAAATAATTTCATACCCAGAGAAAAAATACACAGTACAAAAAAACTGTTTCCTCCCTGAAATGTTTGAAAGTAATTTGCCAGTCTGATTCCTCATCATTTCACAAACTTCAGTATGAATTTCCTACAAGCTGGGACATTGTCCTACATAATTATAATGTAACTAAATACAACTAAAACAACTGTAGGATTAGCATGGCTTTATTATTAACCACCCAATCCATTCAAGAAATAACTTGTCCATTTAGTTTTTATGTTTCCTTCAGTTAGGACCTGTTTCCCAGTCTTTCCTTGGTTTTTGTGAGCTTGATACTTTTGAAGATTTATAGGTCCGCTATTTTATAGAATGTTTCCATTTGAGTTTGTTCAGTGTTTTGTGATAGATTCAGATTATGTATTGTTGGCAGGAATATCACAAAAGTGATGCAGTGCTCTTCTCCTTGCATCCAATCAGGCACCCAACTTTGATTTGGCTCTTATACAGTATGTTCATTTCATCACTTGATTAAGATGGTGCATTAGTCTGTTTTCACACACTTCTGATGAAGACATATCTGAGACTGGGTAATTTACAAAGAAAAAGAGGTTTAATGTACTCACAGTTCTACGTGGCTGGAGAGGCCTAACAATCATGGCAGAAGGCAAAAGGCACATCTTACGTGGTGGTAGGTAAGAGAGAGAATGAAAAATCAAGTGAAAGGGTTTCCCTTTATAAAACTATCAGATCTCATGAGACTTATTCACTACTATAAGAACAGTTTCGGGGAACCACCCTTGTGATTCAGTTACCTCCCACTGGGTCCTTCCCATAACATGTGGGAATTATGGGAGCTGCAATCCAAGATGAGATTTGGGTAGAGACACAGCCAAACTATATCAGATGGTGTCTGCTAGATGTCTTTGTTGCAAAGTTGTTTTGTTCTTTGTGAATATTTATTGGGAAGGGATTCTTTTAAGAACATGTAAATATTCTGTTCCTCATTAAACCTGTAATTTATTCATTTATTTCTAGCATAGATTTAGAGATACCTGTTTTATTTAACAGGCTGTAATCTGTTATTATCATTATTTATTCTGCTGCTCAATTCTTTTGTTGATTTACCCAGCAGGAGCACCTTCAAGTTGACTTGTGTGTCCTTTTAACATGTCCCCGTGTCCTTACTTTCAGGCAGCTATCCTGTGTTCCTGGCTCATCTTACACTTTTCTTCCCCCAGCCCTAGAACCAAAAAGCCCTAGTTTTCTTTTAGTAGAAAATAGTATTGAGGAAACCAAGATCTAGGTGAGCTCACTGCTGTTGGAACGTTGCTACTCTGAGGCCCTTCTGATAAACAGTGGTTGACAATGTATACACACATATGTGACACACACACGTACACATATAAACATCTACATGTCTATACATATCTATATTAAAACGTGATTTCACACTCAAATCTCCAATTCTAATGCAGCACTACAGTGTTCATTCTAGTTTTCTCCATTTCTATATTTGTAATTTCCTTCTCCAATGGTGAGAAATCTGGCTTCCATTATCCCCAATGTAGTTTCTGAGTTGGCTCATTCTTCTGTGTGTAGCGAATACCCCATTACTACCTCACCTCTCACCCTCACACTGCACAGATGCCTGTGTCACTCAGCTTGGGTTCTGGCATCCTGGGCCTGGACCTTGTCCCTCCTGTCATCATGCAGTGTCTGCCTTGCCTGGCTCTATCTAATAGACATTGAACTAAATTTTCAAAAAGGGAAGAGGAAGGGGAAGGAGAAGGGAAAGTTGGGGTAAGAGTCAGATTATGCTTTGAAATATTTGCTGAGCTGTTCATAGGGAAGTCCTTTTTTGTTTTTCTAACATGTTTACTGAGGATGTAGCTTTACTTATATGCATTCTATAAAAAAATGGTATTGGAATGGGATGTTTTGTAAAAGGCTTTCAGTACCTTCTGGGTGGGGCAAGAAAGTATAGGGCAAGAAATAGTGGTCTTATTTCAGAGGCTGGGAAAGCATCCTGGCCCTCAGATTACTACCTCACCAAGCTCTTTCACATTTTACTGAAGAAGACTAAATCCTTTATGTTAAGGTTTCAATACTCATTGAAATGCAAACTCCACTCAGGATAATTTTCCAAATTACCAGCAGTGATTTTCACTTTAATGTAACCAATCTTCATATGTCAAGTTGTGGTTGGACTGAAGACTGACAGAAGAAAAGTTAACATGATATAAGAGTGAATGATCTGAGTGTTTGGATTACCAAGGTGAACTTGAACCACTTCACAATTTAGCCTACATGTGTACTGTAACCTAATGCCCTGCACCGTGACTGATCTATAGTAAATACTCAATTTTGGTGAATACAGATCACTCTTTATTTAGTCGAATTAATTGGTTATTTCTCTGGTATTGCTGGAAACCTGGCTTTCCCTTCCTAAAGAGAAGTTATAACAACCAAGGACCTTTATCTCTGTCATTGGCTGGTAGCAGTCTTCCTGCCTGAAGATCATCAACATTTTCTTGCTTCACCACTCCTGCCAGAATAAGTTACCCAGCAGAAGAAAGTGGGTACATTAAGCTTTCTTGTTTCAAATGAGTTTGCTTCCAATATAGCTCTTCTGGGTGAAGAGGATGGTCAGTTTATCTTAGCTGTGCTCAGAGAGTGAGAGTTGCAGAAACTGTGTGGGTTTGTGTCTCAGTGAGGTCAAATGAACCATAACTCAGCTCTAAGTTATTTATGGAAGGTGTGACTTAGGAAAAATATGTTACACAAAGATTTTGTATTTTAACAAGGACTCCTGGAAATAACTACATTATAGAGGTCATTGTAGGCATCTGTAATTGGCTGACAATGGAGGGAGTTACAGGTATAGAGTCTTTCTAAATGCTCCAGACACAAACATATAAGTAAATGCTCTTGGCATTAGAAAAAAAAAAAAAAAAAAACAAATAGATGGGAGTCAGGTTCCAACAGGAAGACAGAAATGACTCAGTATTCCAAACAGAGGGTGTAAATACTTGGGATTAATTATACAAGTGATGAAAGATGCTGAGAAGCGAGAGGACAGTGAGGCAACCAAGGGATTAGCAAGAGCAGGAGGCTCCCACCTTCCACAGGAGGCGGCAGAGTTCCTGGAGACCAGGAGCTGTGGAACAGCTAAGTGGAAATGAAACTATGCCAGTGTAGTAGGATTTGGTGATTTTTTTTAAAAGACACAGTTATCTAAGATCTTACTTGAGGCAGAGAGAAGGGGAGAAACACTCTGGGTTCTCCATTCTTTGTATCCACTAAATTCCCACTAGTGCCTGTGGATGGACCCTCACCAGAAGCCAGACACATGAAAGGCCATCCCCTTTGTGATACAGAACAGATTAGTGGAACAGTCTAGGACTGAATCTAAGAACATATGGGCTTAAGACCAGCCAAGACACCATGGCTGGGAACCTCCATTACTAGGTCAGACAAAATCTATGATGTGGTGGTATAAGTCTCCAGAGAGAGAAAACCATTGTTATACTTCTCTCCCACTCTGTAAATTTAATTTGACCACTATTTATTGGACATATTAGTTGCTAAATGTAATGCTAGGGGATAGAGATATAAAGAAAATTAAGATGTTATGTCTGTTCTTAAATAGCTCAAAATTTCCAAGGCAAGTGTAAAAACAAATGCCTCCATACAAAATATTAATTCTTAGTTTTATGCATCTATAGACAACTGCGGGAACATGGAAAAAATGAAGAAATTATTAGTTCTGGAAAAATTAACAAAGGCATGAAGATTTCCAAGTGTGGTATATTTGGAAATTGAGTTCTTTGGTTCCATGTACCTAGTGTCTGAAGACCGGAAGATGTGTCAGTGAGGACTCTTTTGTTAGATAATAATAGGAACTTAGCTCAAAATAACTAAGGAAAATAATATAATTCATTTATTTACTCATTTAGAGACAGGTGTCTTTCTCTGTTACCCAGGCTGGAGCACAGTGACTCAAACATGGCTCCCTGCAGCCTCAAATTTTTGGGCTCAAGTGATCCTCCCACTCAGCCTCTTAAGTAGCTGGAACTACACGCATGTACCACCATGCCTGGCTAATTTTTTTTCTGATAGAGATGGGTTCTTGCTATGTTATCCAGACTGCTTCTGAACTCCTGGCCTCAAGCAAGCCTCCTGAATTGGCCTCCTAAAATGCTGAGATTACAGGCATGAACCACCACGCCCGACCAATAATGGAATTTACTGATTTACAAAATTGAAAAGTCCAGAGGTAAAGCTGGCTTTCATTGTGGCAAAGCCAGGGCCTACAATCAGAGTCTCTCTACTTCTTGGCTGCCCCCCACTTCTGTGGGCTCAATTAGCAGTGAGACTTTCCCCTCATGTTGGCAGATAGATGCCTGCACCTCTGTACCTATACCACTTTCTATAAGCCACACCAGTGGTAAAGGAGAGCTTTTATGTTTGAAAACTTCAAAAAATGTCTGGCTTGAATTCTCACTGGCCTGGATGGAGTCACACGTCCATTGTCCATCCTTCATTAAGTCCTCATGGCCAGTGGAGAGAACATTGTGTCAGGGCAGCAGAGGG